GCTTATCAAATGTTCTCCTAGTCGTATTTGCCCTCAATTTGCATTTACGAAAACTCGATGCTGCCCTAAGGTGCGACTGATTGTTAACGTTTAATGTAATAGATGTTCTTGGAGGATTTTTATGCAAAGCCATCGCCTACTCACTGCTTCTACTAGACGCATCAGTATTCAGAGCTACTTTGCTTACTGCTTCAACGTTATTTTTATACTAACGATAAGCAGATTATACGTTATACTAAGCAGATTATTTATAATCTACGTTCGTTCACTCCCTGAATAGAGTTCATCGCTTTAGTCCCCTTCAGATCCACATAGCGATTAAGAGGATGCTGATATCATTGTACATGTTCATCTCAACGTTTTGCGGAAATTATCCCAACGTACCCAATTACCAGGACAGACTAAAAATATTAGGATTGGAAAGTTTAGAACCAAGTTGGTTTTATTCTGATCTCTGTACGGCCTGTAACATAATTCATTGTCTAAATAAACTCTCAGTGAATGAATTCTTCGAATTTTCCTCAAGTAATGCACGAACTCATCATGATAACTCCTCTAAACTCGCTCTTAAATGTTATGAATATTACAAAATTTTCTTTCGCTAAGGGAGTTAGGAGTTCATGCGATACCATACCACAAAGAATAGCCTCATGAGAATCGCTCAAATTGCCAAAAAAAGACTCAGATCTATCCGTCCAGATTGAATCGGATTTCTTTCCTTGACCTATCATAGTAATCGGTAATTTGACCCATAGGGAGATGTTTGCATATCGTATTTGTTTTCTTGCAATGTGTATTTTTGTTTCTGTTCTCCTGTTAGTATTATCTTGATTGAACTGTTACTTTGATTGAACTTAATCTGAATTGCTTGATTGTGCTGAGTTTATCGTTTTATCATTCAATTTATTCTTCTCTTTCCTTTTTTTCATTTAAAATATGATTGAGACAGTATATTCGTCGTTTCGTTCCCATGTGAATTGCACTGGTTTTAATTCTATTTTAACGACTAAAAATTGAATTGAATCGATACAATGTCGTGGCAAACCTCAAAAAACGCATATTTACGCATGTTGAAAAAATGTCATTGAATAATATAAAAACGTTGATAAACACATCTCATGCAAAGTCTCATCTCAACCGCATCATTGATATTGTAAAACAATTTGATTCGCTCGTTGATCGAATGTTGCTGTAATATTGAGCATGATATCTACTAGCATTTGACGTTATTCCTCATTGCTGTGAAGTATTTCAGTCAGCTGCTAAAATCAAATCGGAAAAGGAACTTAAACAATTCGAACAGGTGGAATAAGCAAACGCCATCATTTGGTTTCTCATCGAAATGAAGCCTGTTATTCGTAAGAAACGAACCGGTGTAATAGAAATTGAAACACTCAACCATTTTGCACAAATCACATGAACAATGTAGCTGTGATAATTTACGATATTGTCCTTTATGTACGAAACGTTAATGAATAAAGCAAGGGTAATGAAGTATCATTGATGTTAAACGTAAATTCAACTGGTCTTTGGAACCTTTGTTGAAGTGAGAAGCCCAATAAAATCACACACATTTTTGGCAGCGGGACCCGGCGAAACGATGTACTCCCTCGAATTGGAAGGTACGTAGAGATCGCTGCTCTCATTGCTCATGAGCAAGACATTCGACGTTGGAGACGCAAAAATTTTTTGTAAACGAGTTGTATGCCCCGTTAACTTGATAACACCGCAGATGGGGCAGCATGAGAAGTTGTAGTGATAATACTTCGCTTTTACACTCATAAGCTCTGATAATCAACGCAGCACAATCACATGCCATTATGAAGTCATCAATGACTCAGTGCTCCCAAAGAAAAACAATCAAAAATTAATCAAGGCACACACTTTTTTATATGACCAGAGCTATTCCAGTTTGGTACGCTCCACTTGTGCATTCTTCAGATATTTTCCATCTTCAGTCACACCAAACGAAAGTTGAAAATAATTTATTTTCCTTTTGTAATAATTACAAATGTATGCACAATAATCGTCAGAAAATATATTCAATGCATTTGCAAGTTTTTAAAAGCTCATAAATTTATACATGTTAAAAAACTGTCACCAAACAATATCGAAACGTTGATAAACGCTTCTCATGCAAAATCTCGACGAAACCGCGTTTCGCAAAACAATGTGGTTCGCTATTTGGTCGAATGTTGCCTGCCGTAAAATTGAACATGATTTACCAGCATTAGACGTTACTCCCAATATCTGCGGATATATTTCTCTCAGCCATTCAAATCAGAACGGGAGGGGAATTTGAACAGATCGAAACTGTGGAAAAGCAATGAGCCTCCTTTGCCTACATTACGGAATGAAGCATGCTACTTATTAAAAATGAATCATCGCATGAGAATTGAAATGATTGAAAGAAGAACATAGATTACATGATGATCAACGCATCCATGATAATTTACGTTATAATCCTTGGTGGACATGACCATGAAGAATATTGTGGAGATAATGAGGTGTCCGCATCATCAGAGTCAAGCCATTCAGTTATTCGTGGAGGTGGACGATGTTGATGAATTGGTTGGAGGTAATAAGGTGCGCTGAAGTGCAGAAATGTCCTCGAATCGATTTGTTTTAATTGTTGGCTAACTTGGAAGGGCGTGACTTAGTGCTGGTTCACTCGAATGGGTCATATTGACTGTTGGTGCGCTCGGGTCCGTCTGGTTGACTGCTGATAGATTCACCATTGGTGGAGTTGGTGATGCTTCGTCACCCTGAGTATGAATGCAGCCAGCTACTGGAACTACGATTGATGAGCGTGATGGAGGTGATGAACTGCGCCGATGTTCTAAGATGCGCTCGGATTGGTCTGAGCTGATCGTTGATGCCCGCGGATAGGTCTGCTTTACCGCTGATACGCTCTCAAGGGTTATATTGACGGCTGGTTTGCTCGTGTCGTCCTGATTGACTGTTGGTGCGCTCACATGGATCTCATTGACTGCTGGTACGCTAAGGTCCAACTGATTGAGCGGTGGCGTACTGAAACAGGTCCTGTTGACAGTATCTGCGCTTGGGTCCGTTTGCTTGACCATTGATGCGCTCGGACAGGTCACACTGAACGATTGAGCGCTCGATTCGACTTGACTGACTGTTGGTGGATTTACCGTTGATGGATAGGGTGAAGGTATTGAAGTTTCGTCGTCCTCAGAATAATTCCTGTTGGTGACTGGTACTGCTGCTGCTGCTGGTGGTGAAAAGGGTGGAGGTGATGAAGTGTGGTAATGCGCTGAAGTGTGCTCGGATGGGTCTGAACTGACCGTTGACTCATCTGGATAGGATTGGTTCACTGTCGATGCGTTCTTAATGGTTATATTGGCAGTTGGTGAGCTCGAGTGAGCCTTAGTGATTGTTTGTGGGATCGGATTGGTAATATTTGCTGCTGCTGCTGTGCTCCGGTCGATCTGATAGGCCGTCACGGTACCCCGTTTGGCCAGATTGACTGTTGGGCCAAGTGGATCCGTCTGATCGACTATTGGTGCGCTCAGATCGATCTGATTGGAGGTTGGTGCGCTCAGGTCGTGCTGTGTGGCTGTTGGGAACTGTGCCGCTGGTGGTATCAAAGGACTGGGCCACTGGTGGTATTGTTGAAGATCGGATGATGAGTCAATTCCAGCCTCGGGCGTACTCTCTGAAAGGCGGGATGATATATTTTGATTCCATGTTGATTTGTTGCTTGCGACAGGGCGACAGCAAGAGTTTTGTGATGTTGAGCGGACATATTTTAATTGATTAAGTGGTCTTAATTAGCTGATGAATAGCTCAAGGTTTCCACGATTCCGAACTCTTTTTGCTAAAAGTTCGACTTTTTCAATGGCATATGCTGGAAGGTCTTATAAAATTTCAACGATTGATCAACGAAATGAAGAAACGCTGATTCTGAGCAAACGATCGTTTGAACTGAATCGCTGAGGGTTCTTGGAATTCTTCACAGCTTACCATGATTGCGAACTGGTTCAGCATTCAATGTGAGCATAATCGCTTGAAATAAATCGCTGGCGATTTCGGTGGTTCTTTTGAACTTGCCTTGATTCTGATGCGATTCGGCATTCGTGGATAGCGTGCAACTTCGCTTCCTTCGTGAACGACTAGCGACCTGACGATAGCGCCTAAACAAATGATAACATGTTTGAAAACAATGAGGACTGAATTGAACAATTCCATTCGAAATTTCAATTTTGTAATGGTTTGCACTTCACGAAAAAATTTCTGCGAGTTTCAAATCTGACTGAAAAACTGATGCTGCTGGTCTAGGAGGGTGTTTATTTTACTGCTCCAGTTTATCTAATCAACAAATCCAGCTCATCACGTGTTATGCTTCAATTGTTAATCACAAATGCAATGACGAAAATTTTAATGAACTACAAGAACTGATCAAACGACCCATTTGGAAAGCATCTGAAAAGGTTTCAATGTGCTGCTTTTTTTTCTATTAAAGCACAAAATTACCAGTAAACTGTGCCGAATGCGACGATACAGAAACAACCTCCAGCTATCCCACCAACGATATATATTGCAACAAGAAATTCGGTCATGAGCGATGTAACCTAGAATAAAATCCAATGAACATTACGATACATCAGCGTGAATTGACTCAGAACAGCCGTGAGCTTACTGTTCTATTTAGTGTAGATTTCATCATACAAAAATGGATACGAAATAAGTAAAATTGTTATCGAAGTAAGTATCAATGAATACGGTCAAAGATTATGATCAGTGGCACCTAATTTGAAAAAAAAAATACACACAGCTCCGGCTCAAGCTCTTATCATTCGAAATTTCATCCCCGTCTCTATATTTCCTAAAACGGTTGATATAGCTCCAGCTCTTAATGATCCGGAAATTTAGTCGACTTCTCGGCTCCGCAAAAAATCGTTGACATTTTTTCGACCCCAACTACGACTGTTGCTTCAGCTCCAATATTCACTGTGGGTAAAAATAAATATTGATAAAAGACGTATTAAGGCAAGCCTGGATGAGCTCACAACAAAAATATTGCAAAAATCAAAAACGTGCAAGGATATTGTCCAAAACTGTGCTCTTGTATAACAATCCTGATGATGTGATCGTTGATGCACATCGTACGCAGATTACATTAGCGATAGCATGGAGAGCTGAGAAATACTAATGGCAATGCTTTATAAGGACTGTAGCAAAACTAAACAGGGAGCCCGCAAAACCAGGTACTCAATCGAATTGGGAAGTATTTAGAGATCGCTGCAATCCTTGTAGTTATGAGCCGTAAACAAAATTCTGAAAGCGAGCTATGCG